ATGCTAGTGTTCTCCTCGTTATAGTTTACATTTGACATTAATATTTTCTGTTGCAGAAGAATTCACAATGCTTGACAGTTTTAATCCACAGAAGCTGTCATTGCTTGTAGAGTAGCTACGGTCTGTGACTTTTAAAATAAGCATTTTTGTGTCAGTTGTTTTGTATTCAAAATTAAGCTGATTGAAGTGCACTGATGGCATACTGGAAATAAGTTTAAACTTCCCGAGTCTGAATAACTTCTTTGTTGGAAGTGCAGCATCTAAATTACTAGTATGTATGTAATTCTAAGACAGGCCAAGTTTGATTTTATGACACCTTGTATAGGAAATTATGTGAAGTCAGGATAAAAGTTATTCTTTAGCAGTTGATATCCTGGGGCAGATACTTAGTTTGTACAAATTGTTCTCTCTTCAGTGCTAGCTGTCTTCAGAAGGAAGTAGTTGGCATTTGAAATCTTGATTCAATGGAAAAAAAACATTAACAATAGAGTGTCTGAAAGTAAAAGGCAGGTAAATGAATATTTACAAGTAATTTTCATGTTTTTAACCATGTGTATGGTTAAAGAGTAGTAGCTCCAGCTCTTGAAAGCCTGTATCTGCAGTATATAGAAGTGGGAGAGTATTTACCATATAATGTAGCTCAAAGTTACACCTCTGCACATTCAGTCGCTCTGTAGCGGTTTGCTTTAGCTGTGGGTGGAACAGATTGGAAAAGGAAGAAATGGATTCTCATCTTCAGATTAAAAATTTAAAGACTTGGAGCTTAATGTAGAATAGCTGGGTGAAACGTTGTGTATTATGTGTGTTATGGAGAAGAACGGAGGTCACGGGAGCCCTTTGGTTGTTGGGACTTGGGAGTTACCTCAGTAAAGTGGCCCCACTTCTCTAATTCACTGTGTAAATTATCCATTTGATGTACTCCTCCCATGAATGGCCTGGAGACCTTTTGCAAGTTGAGCTAATACACAGTGTATTGTAATTTTGTGTATGTCTCTGTTGTGGTCACCTTTTACAGTTATTGTTTAAAAGACTTCTGAAACAACATAAACACTTGCAAATTAAGCACAGTTGAGAGGAACTGCTTAAGATGTGCTTCTCTAGTTCAGATGACTGCAGCCTGAGATTTGCTGGTGTGCTTGAATGACTCAGGTGCCCTGAGGTGTCTGAGGATTGATGTGGTATTCAAATAACTGGAATAACCTTCAAATCACGGAGGTTAACACTGCATTTACTTATGGTTTCCATTCTTTGACACTTAGTTGCTGAGTGAAGGAACATAGGCAGTTTTGGTTTGATGTACTGGGAAATCCTTAAAATGCATAAATGAGCACTCCTTTAGGTTGGAAGGGACCTTTAACATTACCTGGGTGCCTTTGAGATGAACCTGGTAGTTCTTGTTCAGTTAAACTATTTTATATTATAGAAGAACATTGCAACTGCAGTAGACAAGCCCAAAATATTGTTGAACACTAAGTGCTGTGCATATCAAGCCTTTGTTATTTCCATTATCTCTTACTGTAACTCTTTTCATAGAATCATAGAATCCTTTAGGTTGGAAGGGACCTTTAACATCATCAAGTCCAACCATTAAGCCAATAGGGCTCTAAAGTCCTCTGCTAAAACAGATCAGAATCTGTCAGGGTTGGAAGGGACTACAAGGATCACCCAGTTCCAACCCCTCTGCCATGAGCAGGGACACCTCCCACTAGATCAGGCTGCCCAGAGCCTCATCCAGCCTGGCCTTAAAGACCCCCAGGGATGGGGCCTCAACCCCCTCCCTGGGCAACCCATTCCAGGGTCTCCACTCTCATGGGTGAAGAACTTCTTCCTCACATCCAGCCTGAATCTGCCCACTTCCAGCTTTGCCCCATTCCCCCTAGTCCTGTTGTTACTTGAGATCCTAAAAAGTCCCTCCCCAGCTTTCTTGTAGGCCCCCCTAAGATACTGGAAGGCCACAATAAGGTCACCTCGGAGCCTTCTCTTCTCCAGACTGAACAGCCCCAACTCTCTCAGTCTGTCCTCACAGCAGAGCTGCTCCAGCCCTTGGATCATTCTTGTGGCCCTTCTCTGGACACGCTCCAGCAGGTTTTGTATGAAAAAACTTTCATCAGCTCAGGTTTTTGGGTTTTGGTTTTTTGTTTTGATCCCTTTGAAGTGTTTTGACAGATAGAAGGTAAAGTAAAAACATAAAGTGACTGACTTTGCAGAGCTGTAGATTTGAGCTGTATTATCAGGACATGGACATTCTCCACTTATTGGAGATGCAAGCTTTCAAGAATAGTGACTGTTAATCTGTGTTTATTAAAGTCAATACAAATCTGGAATAACTGCATTGAAATTCAAAGTTCAATAAAGAACAAATGTATAGCTGCCTTACACATGCTGATTTCTCTATAGAAATCTTTCCTGTTGAAATCTTTGTTGATTTTCCTTGCCATTTGTGCCAGCGACTCTCACTCATACCCCTTCCAGGCATTTTGAGGTATCAGTAGCACTTCTAACAGCTGACTCCTCAGCATGTCCTTGACAGTGAGCAGGTGCTTATGAAGAGTGAAGAAAGGGTGTTTCTTTTGCATTTATGGATTTTCTCTTTTACCTGCCATATTTACCACAGGATAAAAATACCCTTTCCCTCAAAAAATTATTGGAGTGCCTAGAGCTTTGTGTAGCATTTGATGCAAAGCCTCACTCTTCGTGGGCAGTTCTTACTTCACTCTGCAGCTGATGACTGAATCTGTAGAATATTTACAGGCTAGGTTCACCTGGCTGATGGTGGGAAAGAGCAGTGAAGTGTCAAAGGCAGTTGTTGCCTTTCTCACCCTTTCCTTGTTTTCCATTATTAAAGGCAGAAGGCTGATTCTGAGATTAATTCTGTGATTCCTGGATCTCAGAATTTCTACTTGCATTATATCCTGGGACTAAGTGTAGTGCCAAAACGTCGTGATCCTTTGTACTACAGAAGACACCCTTTATTTTGGATTGCTGCTACTGTCATCTTCAACCTTGCTGAAGGACAGGTTTCATCTGTTGTAACAGCAATCCAAGGACCTTGACAGATGATGTCTAGCTTTGATTTTATTGCCTGTAGAGCCCTCTATAATATATATTTTTGATGTATGAAAATGTGGTGCAGTACAGATGTGTGACCCCTGTGAATTTTAAATTATTTTCCTGGAAATAAGCTGGCAAAAATTTGTCTGAAGTTTATAGATACAACAAAATTATTTAAAAAAAAAAAAAAATTCTCCTTCAATGTTGAGCATACAAAGTGTTGCTTAAAAACATGTAATGTATTGTGGGTTTGGTGTTTTGATTTGGTTTGTTTTTTTTTTTTTCCAAATCTATGTGCTCAGTAAAAATAATGTTATTTTAAGATAGGTAGGTTTATTAAGGTTTACAAACCATAAGAGACACTTTTTACATATAGGTGAGGGCTGAAGCCCGTGTGATACATGACCTAGGGTGGAATACTCTCCCCATGTACCATCTCTGGCATCAGCCATGGCATCAGCTCCTACACACGTGCCTGTGCTGGAGGTGGCTTTGGGTGCCTGGTGCAGTGCTGCTCTGTGCTGAGCAGGTCTGGGAGCCCTGGGCTGAGGGAATGCCTCTTGGGAGAGAAAAGAAGTTCCTCTGTGTTACCTGAACAGCAAAAGGGTTGAATTAGAAGAAGACAAAATGAAAAAACTCACTGTAGAGAAGCAAGAAGTGTAATAAACCTAGTTTTTAGTTCCAAAGTGGTAATTACAGCTTTCATTCTTCTTCTCTGTCAATATCAGTACTTACATAGTAGGTAAATCCTCTGTTATTACAATCAGACTGATATGAAGGAGTTTACACAGTTTTAGTAAGTTGTTTTGATTTGGGTTTTGTTTTATTTTTTCTAATACCCTTTCAGTAGTACCTTTGTGTTTTAGAATGTCTTTGTCTTTAAAAGTGAATGCCTTTTTAGGCAGTAATGCTCTTGCTGCCTGCCTCTTGCTATTAATGATACCCAAAATAAGACTTGCCTACTGTGTGAGTAAAAGGCATGTGACCGAGCAATCCTAACTGTGATGGTGGGCTTTCCTGGTGCCTAAATGATAATGAGAAATCAGTTGAACTACTCTGGTAAATTAATAAATTCATAGAGAGAAATTATGTGGGTTTTGTCTGGGAGGAATTTTTATGTATCTCATGTGAATTAGGAAACAAAATCTGATTTGTATTCATATGAATTTACCCTTCAACTTAAGTCACTACTGATGTCTAAAAGAGAAAGAAAAAAAGGGGGAAGAGAGATCAGAGTTTTGTTTGGAAATCCTGAAATCCCTACCATGTATATCTAAAGATACATTGAATGAATTTTTGGGACAGTAGTTCAGTATCTACTTCAGCAGTGGTACCTGACTCTTCATATCAGCACTGTTAAGTGGCAATGGATTTAGAGCACAGTGCTCTGTACACTCAGGGCAAGCTGGATTCATTCACACATCAGCTTCTTCTGAGAAAAAATATTCCAATGAGTTTAAAATCATCCTCTTTTAAGGTCAGTACAGACCTTTGTATTGTCAGGATACCACATACCCATTTTGAAGTGATGATACTGAGATATTTAGAGGACAGACATCTGGATCAAGTGATATACACTATAGTCTTTGTGATGTTTTTGTAAGATCTCGTGGTTTCTTTGCCTAGTTTTCATGTATATGTAACTCAGTGGGATAGATAAGCAAGCTGGTTGACCTCAGATGGAAAAAGGAGTTTTTCTTTTGTGTTTGGCTCCAATTTTAGGTTCTGTAATTTCAAAGTAATTTTGTAAAACGCTTCTCATGGGTGCCATTGATTGATGGACTTAAAGCAGTTCAATAGCATTGCCCCTGGAACTGGTAAAATAAAAATTGGAAATGTACCAGAGAAAAATTAACCAATTGCTGTATAATGCTCTATAGTTTGAAATGGATTGCTTGCTGTTGGAAGGTTAATACTGACTTTGCTTATATGTTTTGTTTCTTTGGCAGGTAACCCTGGACTGGCAGGTTACTACAGGACCTTTATACAGGCCTTATATTGTGGACTGAATCAGCAGTATCCCGTTTGGGTTGTGAGCCATGCTGGACATTGTAAACCTCCTAGTGGTATGGAAATGATAGAAGGTACAATACTGTAACTTGTACATAGAATCACAGAATCATTTCAGTTGGAAATGACCTTTAAGATCATTGAGTCCAACCATTAACCTAACACAGCCATGTCCACCACTAAACCACGTCCCTCAGCACCTCATCTACATGCAAATGTTTGTATTCCCCTGGTTTCACTAGCTGAACTTGACCCTATTAAAACCACGATATGATTTTTAAATGTCTCCATTTTATTTCCACAGAACAATGTATAAGTTACTGAGGAAAAGAATATTTATATCAGATTTTCCAGTCAAATAAATGCTATTCAGAGAAATAAGAGTTTGCTGGCTGCTGATGGCAGTCTTAGAGACAAGGTATAGAGAAGGTCTAGAATGTGTTTATGTTGAGTAGATTAGAAAAGTACATTTTTTAAATGAAATGTCCCATTCCAAGATTGTGTACTTTAGGAGAGACTTATTTCTGAGTTTAGAAATAGTTGTACTAAATGAATTTCCACAGAGCAAGTAAATCTTTCTGAGACTGGGGTATGGGGTGTTGGCAGGGGAGAGATCGATTACCAGTTAAATATCTTTTGATATGCAAATTGCCAGCAAGAAATGGTAGCCAACTCAAAGTGGATTTTGTCACTCTACAGTAACTCTTACTGTAAGATGAGGGAGCCAATAGCTAATCCTGTCCTGAAAGCTGCTTAGTGTCAGACCTCTGGCCTTAGTCCAGCTGCAGTGATGTAGCAATAAGTCAGTATCATTTCTTAGGACCAAAAGGTTTAGCAATATGAAGCAACCTGAAAATTTTGAAGAAGAAACTGTTTTAGCTGTTTAGCATAATTTTGCCTCACTGACCTTTGCACCTGAGCTTTTAAGCCTTTTTATTGGTTTATTTAATCTCAAGTTTGAAAATGAAACGTGAGATCTGTATTTTGTTGATAAAATACAGTTTTGTACAGTTGGCCAGTCATTGTGTTCCAAGTGTCAAACTAACAGATGCTAGCACTTTCTAGCAATAGGTGAGAAATCCCCAAGTTCATCATTTCTGGCACAGTGTTAACCATGGGATACCTGAATTGAGCTGATTTTATTGCAGAGAACGTTACTAGGTCTCACAACCTGCCCTGGGATCAATTTTGTGGTTAGTGAAAGGAGCCTTTGATGGTGAGAGATGTGTTTGGTGGCTTGAGATGGCTGAGCTAATTGAAATGGAGAGGTTTTTAGATGGAGCCAACAGGGATGTTGTACAACTGTCCCACTTCCACTCTGACACTCCCTGTGCCACTAAGGAAAGTAAATTTGGAGGAAGGAGAGCATCCAGTAGGAAAAAGGGAGCTGATACCCAAGTTGAAACCAAACTTCCAGCTGACTTCACTGTGTCCTTTTGCACTGACAATGCTCCTGTGAGGGGCGATTTCCAAGCGTGTGGTAACTTGTGAGGATGCACAGGTCAGAAGTGAGCTACTGTAAGGGCTGGTGCTGTGCTAGTAAGTTGAGTATTCACCTGTGACCTGCAGAATGAGAGCAAACTGAAATTTCTCAGTTTGTGGGTGGTATTTCATACCATTTAATTATTGGGAAGATAATAGATGTCGGGGAGCTACAGGAACATCTTATAAAATGTAATTAGTGGGCAAAAAGATTTTCGCTGAGTGTCAGGGTAGATAAATGAGTTCATTCATCTGACACAAAACATCTCCTTTGTGCCTGGTTGTTCCTGAACTTGGAATTAATTTGTAAAACTGAGGAAGGATACTGGCATCATCACTGACAGTTCTCTAATATCTCTCATTGCCCAGTGGCAGACAGAATTTAAAGCAACAAAATAGTGGGCACAAGCAGTGTTAGGAACCAGGAAGGAGGCATTGTTTCATTACTGCATATAGCATATGGATCTACATCTTTAATATAAGAGGGCAGTTCTGGTGGGCTTCTCAACGACAACATTTCAAGAGTGAAGTTGACGAGTGGATGGAGAAGGGCAACTGAAACAACGGAGAGGAAGCAGCTTCCTCCTTAATGAGACATCAAATGGCTCTGGTTGGGGGAGCAGAATGCTCCTCAGGAGCACAAAAGAGGTTACCAAAACCATGACTGTAAGTAAGGTAAATGCAGAATAAGATATACTAGGTGCAGTAATGGAACTACCTGTCACATAATAGTACTAGCTGGTTTAAAACAGACAGGAAAATGTTCTTATTTACATGACAGGTAAAGCATTTAGGGAACTAGCAGCCAAAGCACTATGCTGTAGGCAAATTGCAGTAGTAGACTTAAAGTGATAAAACAACCTAAAGGACACCTGGTCCCTAAGCAGCTGCTGGAAGAGACAGGTTCTTTGTTGTGCAGGTGCTCTGCTGTCCTTGCTTTGGTCATGGACCTTCTGAACACTTCTGTGCTGCTCCTGGTCCCAGTGCCATCTTGTGGCAGGGTTGTGAGCCTGAGAGATTCACCCAACAGGGAAGAGATGTAAAAAGTGGCCAGGCTTGGTTTCTCTCTCTGAGTAGCATCTACTTTTGGTGCTGAGCTTGGGGGACTTGCTTGCCTGCACCATTAAGGTGTTTTGTGTGTTCTCAATATGTGCCAGGAGCTGTACTTAGCAGTGTGCTTACCGTAGCACCATGGAGCTAAAAAAAACATAGAAAGCCACTGATGGATAGTTCAAAAAATAATGAAAAGACATTTATGAGATTGTTTTCATATTTATTTTATTAGGAACACAGGAGCAGGAAGCTCACATCCTGTCATTAGTATACATTTAGACAGCATTCCAGAATATTCCGTAGGGAACCTTTTTCAAGCTAGTCATCTAAGGGAACCCTGAAAAGTTTAGTGACCTTGGGAAAGAATGATGTTACTGCAGTTGCCATGGGTAATATGCTGTGGTTTGCAGTAGCTTGGCGTGTGGCAAAAGAAATATGGTTGATTTCATGCAAAGTGGCTGGAAGGTCTTATAATTTGCCATTTTATGACAATATAGGTTGCCTGCAGAGAGAGACAAGATCTGGAGTAATTTTCCTTCATTCTTATGACACAAAAGAAATTAAAAGCAACTGTTGGATATTGGTAATTCCCTAACTTTTACTTATTTATTGCCAAAAATCTAGTTTTCTTGGATTGACTATAAAGGTGTGATCAAAACTACCAAACTTAAAAATTTAGCATCTTTGCAGTTTCCCAGATGACTGACTAAAAGTAGTAGGGATTCATGGACAGCTTGCTGATGTTGTGTTCCTGCATCCCACAGGAGCTCTTAATTGAAATTTTGTGGCATTATAGCAAAAAAAAAAAAAAAACAAAACAGAACCCTAAGGACCAACAGAAGCACGTGCATAGAAACAGATAACTCTGTTCTGTGCAGCTCTTTGTTGGTTCTAGATTTCGTCTAGCTTCTGGATTTCTCAGGCAAAGTTCTGTCCACTATGTAGGTCCATCACTGTATAGGATTGTGAAAAAACCATCAGATGGTAATATGCTGCATAAAACCAGAAGGGGATATTTTGGCAAAGAACTGGGCGTGAAACTTGTACTTTAAAAATTCCATGTATTCCTTCATGCTTCTGATGGACGTTTCATAATGCTTCATTTAAAATAGCCTCATGCAAATCCTCTGAGGAAGCTCAGTATTTCTTGATAAGAAGGATGAGGACCTAAATTGGCAAGGACATTTTAATCTCTAACGTCATTGATTCTTGAGGTTTTTCAGTCTGGAATCTAGCAAATAAAAAAAAAATGGGGGGAGAGGGGAAGCTACTAGGAAAGAAGAATTCATACTGATCATTTAGAATAGTGGTCTACAAACTGTTTGATCATGCACTACTATCAGTAAAAAAATTTTATCAGTAAAAATTTTTTTAGCAGCCCCAAGTATACCTTTTTAAAAATATAAATTACATACATATACCACTGCATTTCTAGTATTTGCTAGTATCCTGCCCCCTAATTTGATACCACTGATTTAGTATGTAAGCGTTTCATAGCACACTCAGCATATAAATGATGCTGCTTGTAAAGTAATAAAGGGCCTAAAATGAAGCAAACAGTGTTGGAATAATATGCCTAGTTATATTTAGATTCATTATATTTTGAAAGCCTCAGGAAGACTAAGGCAAGTTTTCCAACAGCAGCCATCAGTCACAGACTACTTCCTAATTCACTGGAGACGTGTCACATTGTGGCTTGAAAACTGAACAAAGCTACACCCTTCATTTCTCCTCTCTGATATCCTTCTATTCAAGGGGCTCTTCCAAGCTATGCTCCACAGAGACACACAACATTAATTGAACATTTCACTGCTGTAATTCTGTTCCTAGCAATCAGCCCACTGTGCAAAAAGATTTGAAACTTATTTTTACTCGGTGAATGCAATAAAAAAATTACACCTCAATTTCAACTTCCCCATCCTCCTTCTCAAGCTTTTAAAAAAGCAGTTCTTTTGAACACTACTGGGACTAAAATAGGCCAACATCAATCCTTAGGTGCAGGCAAAATTAGAAAAAGGAGAGTAGTTTTCGAGCTCTCTTATTTTGTTTCAAACTAGCCTGATCTGTGTATGCTTTATAGAAGTTTATATAATCTCTGAAGTGTTACTTCTCTTCTGTTCAGTGCCTGATAGTGAGACTTGGACTCATAGTTTTCCCAACGATTAAGATGTTTGTGCTCTTGAACAGATGATACCTGGGAACAGGTTCTTTATAATACCAAAAGCCCTGCCTACGTACTCACTCTGATTGCTTACCATTCCAAATATATTACAATTGTATTGTGTCTTTTTAAGGTGCAGGCATCTGCACATCGTTTGGTTAATTTCTACCTTATAAAGACATGTTCTTAAGAAAGGCAAAAAGTATACAAATAGATCATAATTAAGATAGGGCAATTTTTTTTTCCTTAAAAGTAAAAACAACAGACAGTTACCCACAGTTGATTTATTGTTTTTAAGTTCTGAAGCGTCTTTTAATGTGTCACTCCATCAAAGAATATTCATTACACTTTTTTTGAGACTTCTGATCTGGTAAAATA